GCAGAGTTTGAACTAATTTTCAGCGGTGGGGGGTGGGGGCGGGGGTGGAGGGAGGTGTGTAAAAGAGCTTTGTAAAACATCCACCCCAGGAAAACTCAAATAGTCAAGCCACTAAGAGAGATATAATTGTGTGTATATTGACCCTAAATACAGTACTGATGCTGATGTCTAAGTCCCGTGTAACTCTGCTCCCATCCCACACTGAGGGGAGTCGTAACCCTCAGTGAAGCTTTAAACCTTAGCCAAAGGGTGAGGACCTCAAGTTGCCGAGGCTGGGGAACGTAACATAGGGGTTTGCCCCTCTGTCTGCCTCTGCAGTACTTAGTAGTTTTTCCTGAAATCTAGTTTTGCTTCCAGGTAGGTTTGCCAAGAGATGAGCAGGTAAGTGGGTAATGTAGCTGAGAATTCTTTTTGGTGAAAATACACTGAAAGCATATATATATGTATGTATGTGTGTAATTTCATTAATATTTATGATGTATATGTCAAGGCATTGGGTTGGGTGGGGTAAGCACATTTCTCAACCATAGTTTTTATTTCTGACCTTATTTTTAAGTAATCTCTCCTGCTTTTATTAAGTCATGAATAGCTATCAATGAATAATAATATATTTTAATTTTTTCCAGGTCTCCCTCACTTTTAAAATCTTAAAATCCGCTCCAGAATGTAGTTAGGGTGTTTTTGTTTACCAAATAGAACTGAGCTTATCAAATCATGTGGAGCTAAACTAGAAAAAAAAAAAAAAAAAAAAAAAAAAAAAAAAAAAAAAAAACTTTCATAAGATAAATATGAGATCTTCCTTCACTATGTGCTAATCATCATAGTAGCATAAACTCATAATTAAATATAAGTTCTACTTCAATATTTCACTACGGTTTACAGACACTAGTTCTGGCGTACGACGAAAATACTTCCCCAAGCTGGAATTTTAAGTGTTTTATCATATCGGTTTTTTTTTTTTAATGCATAATGTAAAATTCACCATTTTAACCATTTTGAAGTATACATTTCTTTGGCAGTAAATACATTCACATTGTTTTGCAACCATCACCACCATGTATCTGAACGTTTTCATCCTCCCAAGTGGAAACTGTGTGCCCATTAAACGGAAACTCCCCATGACGATGCCTTTTGTTGCATGGTTTTTCATGGTTGTAAAGTCACATCTACAAGTTTCCCCTTTCTGATTTCTTTATTTTTCTGCTGTGGAAGACCTTCCTTGAATATGCCTCCAGTCATTGTTTACATCTGATTTGTTTTTCATTTGTTTATTTTAGCTCTTTACTTTAACCTGCAGGCGGTGAGCTTTATTTTTTTATTCCAAATTGTCACTAAGTTATTTCAGTACTATTCATTGACCTCCATTCTCATTCTTTTGAGATGCTTTTTTATCACGTACTTTACATATACTTAGGTTTATCTCTGGCCATTCTGTTCTGTTCCTGTGTTCTGTCCTCTTTCATTCTTCTTCTTCTTCTTCAAAATTTCCTTGGCTAGTCATGCATGTCTCATTCATTTTTATGGTTGTATTTTATAATGGTTTTGTCAGGCTCCACAAGCAAATCTTGGTTTTTGTTTAGAATTCCATTACATCGATCTACTGAAAAGATAATTGTCATTTTTACAGCATGGAGTCTTCCCACTTAGGGACTGTTCTGTCTCCCATTTTGTCTTTTGTCCCTGAGTAAACTTTTCAGTTGCTGCTGTTTTGGGGGGTTTTGTTTTGTTTTTATTTTTAATGTAAATCATTCATGTTCTGTTACCCTCTTTACCATTTCCTTCGGACTTGTTTCAGGACTAGAACTTGTCTTAGCTGAAATCATTCTCTAGAAATAAAAAAAAAAAAAATCTCATTTTTACTTTTTTAGGTAAATTACATCTGTTTTCTTGTGTGATTTTTTTTCAATTTGAGAAGGCTTCTAATGTGTGTGTAGCTGATCGTACAGTAGATATATGATTTCCTCATTTTTTTAAACAGTACAAATGTCCATTTACGTTCAGTAACAGCTTTTCTAGAGAAATGTCAAAGTGCTAATTTTACTATTATCTGGATCTCATTTGGAAAGAACAAGTTATTTGAGTGGCTTTCAACTTGCTATTTTTGATCCAGCATGTTTTTGATATCTGTTGGCCATTCTGCTCTTCAGAGTTTTAAGGAGAAAAATACAGACTAATAAAAGAACATACTTGATCGAGTGTTATGGATTTTTTAATATCACTTTATCAAAGAAAATGTTTGAGCTTTTACTTTGGTTTTCTTATGTAGTGTTAAAACTCTGTTAGAAGCTAACGTAGTTATGTCGTGAATTCTTATTTTCGGAATAAATGACTGTAAGTTGCTCTTTGTATCCTCACTGTATACTTCATAAAATAAATATCACAAAAATAACTAATTGGATTGTCAAAGAATAGCATTTAAGATTAATATGGTATGGTTCTCATAAATACTAACCTCTTTCCCTGACATCCCAAGACTGGTTTGTTTTCTGTATTTCTGTAGCATCTTTTACGCCAATGTTAACTATACTGTGTCATAATTCTGTGTTTTACTGTCTGTCTTTCCAATAGACTGAGCTCCATGAGGGCAGGGAGAGTGTCTTCTTGTTTGCAATTTTATTCCCAATTTCTAGCATTGTGTGTTACATGGTTTGGGGCTCAGTGAATAATTGTCAACTTAATAAGTGGTAGGAACCAACATATGAGGTATGTTGATGCTGGTGGATGTATGAAATCACTATGAATTGTTCCTAAACAAAGAGGGAAGCATGAGAAGAAAAAAAAAAAAATGACAAATTCTTTTTTTCTCTTACCATGGGAAGGAAGCCTTTGTTTTTGATGCTTATCTACATATAAAGTGTGACTCAGTTTTGTAACTTTTCTTAGAAAATATGAACTGCCAATTTGGGCACTCTGGAGAGCAGGAAATTTAACCTTGAACCCCATGTTCTGATCAATTAAAGGGGAGAGGAAAGAGAGCAATCCAGGAAGGTGAAAAGTTTGAAAATCAGATCATGAAAAGAGCATGCTAAGAGAAGATTCTACTTTCAAAATTGTCCTGAAGGAATGGAAACAGACTTTTTTTTGGTTTTTGTTTTCATTTTTGGGGTACTGGGAGACAAACCAGTTCCTATTATTGGTTATGAATTTTGTCTGCCATGTGACATGTGCTGCGTTTAGCAGTTTCCTTGTCAATAAAGATGATGAGATTTTACGTGACGTTCCTTCAGGAATACTGTGGAAGAAGGCCTTTAGTGGGTTAGCTAGATCAGTAGTCCTCATCTTTTTTCTGAAACCCCAGGGTTTTGTTTGGGTTCAGGGTCTTTAGCAGAAGATTGATGGGTAGAACTCTGAGGCTCCCTTTTAGGTTTCACCAAGAGCAGCTGCTTCCAGTGGGTTTGCACAGTAAGATTTCCCAAAGATTTCAGATGGTGGAGGAAAGGTTCTGGTGTGTAAAAAGAAAAGCACTTAGATTAGATCTCTAGAGTCGTCTCTAACCCAAGCCTCTGGGAATTTGCAGTATTTGCACGTTGTTTTCCTGTCTTTCTTGCTAACCGTTGACGTTTGAGGTTACAGAAGTACCAAGTAGGATGAAAGCAGTGTGGTGAGATTTAATTCATGAAGATCAACCTAATTGCGTGCAGTAAATGCTCTGCTACAGAATGCTTATCAAAAATGAGGACGGTGATTTTTTTTTAGTGTCTTGTCTTAGAATGTATATGTGCTTGTTAAAGTTTTAGAGATGAATTTAGACTTTGCATTTAGATAAAATCAAGATAACACTTGCTTTCGTAATTAAACTATCATGTGTTACAACAACACTAGTAAATGAGTCAGGGCCTTACTAAGAAGGATCTGGCAGATAAATGAGACCACAGGTTTTCTAGCATAGTGACGAGCACTAGATGGCCTGGCATTGCCTCCTGCTTCCACCCTTCCATGGTGGCAGGCTCTTCTGGTGTTCCATGTCTCTATTTCCTCATGTGTAAAACAGGGAGAATAATCTCTCTCAGAGGGCTGTTTTAAGGATTAAATTAGTTAATACAAGTAAAACGCTTAGAAAAGTGCCTGACACACAGTAAGTGCTCAGTAAATATTTGCCATTATTGTTATTCCATTTACGTATCCGTCATGCATTTCGGTGAACGTTGAGTTCAATTCGTTCAGTAAATGTTCATTTTAGATCACTGCTAGTGGCTGACATTGACTCAAAGGTGAAATAAAGCGGTCTTGTTGCCTTCAAGGAGCTTTCGGTTTAAGTTGAGAAATAAGTTTACAGGGAATTACAGAACCATTTATAAGGTTTGGGGACCCAGGTGATTTGTTAGAGCAGGTGGTATTTGAGCTAGACCTTTAAGGAATGGATCGAATTTCAGAAAGTGAGGTCAGGAAAAGGTGTTCTGGGCAGAAGGAGCTAGAATGATTTTTGGCTTCAGATGCATTGGCAGTGGCAGATGACCAGGACATGGAGTAGGATAAAATTAAGAACAGGTGTCAGCCCTTGAAACATATTTACTAAGTTAGTAATTTACTAAGTTAGTAATTTAAAGTGGTTTAGCAGGAAAGTGGGGAGTTTAATTCACCAACAGTATTTTAGGATGAGTTGAGTGACTAAAGATGGGAATGTTAACTAGATTGAGATAATGAGGCATGAAAAGGGATATCCTATTTGATGTCAGGAAGTCTGAGATCCTGGAGGGTGATGTTGTTTTGGAATAGTCAGTTGGGAATAGCAGTTATGTTCTATTGGGATATAATCCGATTATATTCTATTGGGAACCAAGTCCTAGATTTGAGAGTCACCTTGACAGAGTTCATACATATGCAGTTGAGCGCATTCTCTTGGAGGAAAGAGAGCTAAAAGCTGAAGTTTGGATTTTCCTCTTGCCTTTTCTAGAGGTTGCCAAAACAAAGCCACGGCATGCCATGAAGCGGAAACGGACAGCAGATAAGTCCACCAGTACCAGCGACCCTGTGATTGAGGATGACCATGTGCAGGTGAAGAAAAAAGCCCTCGCTTAACTTTCAGTCTAGCCAAGGTCCTGAATAATGACTCCAGATTCCATCTTTATACATATAATTTTTTTGCCCTAAAAGAGAAGAAATTGGTAACAGCTGCTTCGTAGCTTGTGCCAGTGAAAACATTTAACCTTTAAAAAAACATCTGCAGAAAGATACATCATTTAAAGTTTCTCTCTTTGTAGGTCCTCGTATTAAAATCCAAAAATCTTGTTGGAGTCACTATGACCAACTGTGGAATCACAGATCTAGTGCTAAAAGACTGTCCCAAGATGATGTTCATCCACGGTATGTCTTAAGGCCTGGGTCATACAAGAGCGTCAAGAATGAGTTTAAAGAATTAAGGACTCATAAATACTACAGTAACATTTCTTTATTTTTTCCAAGGAATCATTACGTCGGGTTATTTGTCATTCTGTCCTTGTTGTCATTCTCAGTTACTCCATAGTATTTGTGAGGGACCGTGTGCAGAGGCTTCTTCTTATAAAATAGCCTCTCCTCTGCTTTCCTCCAAATGGTAATTGTTACTTGATCTAACAGAGTAGATTAACAACATGTATGGGCTTCGGAGTCCGGTAGATCTCAGCTTGAGTCCTGTCCCTACCATTTGCCAAGCTGTAGGACATTGGACAGCTTTTGTGTTCATGTTCTGTGGGCACTGGTGACTGGGCCTGAGGTGCTTAACGGCTCTAGATTTGATTGACGTGGTTGATCATCACCTCAGTTCCTGGCATAATATCTTCAGTCCAGGCCCCACTTTTCTTCTCAGTCTGCGTGTTTCCAGTCCATCTTTACTTACGTACATATTTACCTCTGAACGAATAACAGGGTGTTAACTTGTGTGAGCTTTTATAACTTCAGATGTATAGTATGTCCATTTTTCCGTTTTCACTCAAAATTATAGTTTTGATACCTATCCGTGTGGAATTATGAAGCTATGACATGTTTGTTGCCTTGGACAAGTTCTATATTCTCTGTGTTCATCTTTTTCAATCTGTAAAGTGTGCATAATTATGCTTACCCTATAAACACATATTTGTGAGGATTAAGTGCAGTGATGTGTGTGCACATGTGTGTGTCTATGTGTATATGTACACGTACACGTAGTAGAGGGTCTGACCTCTAAAAGCTTACCAGATGTTAATTTTTATTCTATTAGTATTGCAGTATTAGGGGCTTCCTTTTTTTTTTTTTTTGCACTTTTATGTTACTGGTAGTAAACAAAGCTAGGTAATCCTTACCAGTTTGTCATAAACCAGGAGAATCCCAGAAAGAAGAGATAAAACTAAGAAATAAACGCTACCTCTCTCCTGAATTCTAGAAAACTCTAGACCCTATGTTCACCCTTAAGAGTGGTACTTTACTCCATTCCAACCGATGAAGTTTTAGACTGTCTACTGAACGACTATCTACTCGTAAAACACAGTAGGGGCACATCAAAAGCTCAGGGGTGATAACAGCAGGGCAACCCCGGCAGTGCTCCCCGCTCTGAGGTCTGAGAATCTTCCTCTCAGCCTTTGGACTCTGCTGCTTTTTGACCTCTCATTCGTTTCTCTGTTCATCTCTTGGAGAATCTGACTGGCGCCTGACTCTGATGATTCATTCACCCCATGTCTTCTCTAAAGGTGCACATTGAAACCTGTATCACCATCTCGTCCGCTCTCTTTTCCTCCTTTCCTGTCCCCTGCCCTGCTTGCCCTTCTTCCTGCCAGGTCACAGAAGGAGAAGATAAGCCAGAAAGGCAGAGACTTGGCTCAGCCCTCTGACATCAAGCTGGTTACAGGGAGGTGGGGACATCTGGGTCAAGGACATCATGAGGTGTCTTATTAAAGAAATCAAGCGTATCAGTTTGATTATGGTTTTATCTCTTCTATCTCATTGTCTCTTGAATTGGACTAAGTTGAAGTCCATAGTAAAAAATTGGATTAGAATGAACTTTGAGGTTAAAAATAGAGGAAAGGGATATTTTTCTGAAGTTGAACATACTGTTGCAGTTAAATGCATTTGTTATATAACAGTTATTTTTCTTTATAATCCTACGCTTTACATGTTAAACAGGGAGAATATTTAATCATGTTTTTAGGCCAGCATTTTTTTAAATCTATTTTTTTAATGTTTGTTTATTTTTGAGAGAGAGGAGAGAGACAGCATGAGTGGGGGAGGAACAGAGAGAGGGAGACACAGAATCCGAAACAGGCTCCAGGCTCTCAGCTGTCAGCACAGAGCCTGGTGTGGGGCTTGAACTCACAGACTGTGAGATTGTGACCTGAGCCAAAGTCAGACGTTGAACCGACTGAGCCACCCAGACATCCCTCAGGCCAGCATTTTTAATAGAACTCTCTGCAGTGATGAAAATGTTCTGTATCTGTACTGTTTGATATGGTAACCACTGGCCACATGTGACTATTGAACATTCAAACTGTGGCTAATGCCTGATGAACTAAATTGTTAATCTTACTGCATTTTAGTTAATAGAAATTTAAAAAGCTACAGGTGGCTAGTGGCTACCACATCGAACTATACAGCTTCAGACCAAAGTATCCAAATATTTTTGGGTCTTTTAAGGTTTTCTTTTTATACTTATGATAGGAATTGAAATCAACTCGGCTCATTTCCTGTGGGTGAATGTAAAATAATATATGGAAATTATTCTAGGTTTATTTGAACATTACCCATAAAATTTAACCGTTACCATCATTCATTCTTTTCAGTAAATCTTTTCTAAACAATTTGTATGGTTAAGCAAAGTCATTCTCTGGAATGTGGACTCCTCAAAGTAAAATCTTAGGAAAAAGTTCCTTCAGTGGGAGGGGGTGACCACCTTCTTTTGAATAGGGCAGAATCACGTTTTCAAATCACTTTGATAACTGTTAGTTGTACTTTATGAGAGTACTTGACCTGTGTTAAAGATGTTCATGTCTGCAGCATCTTTTGCTAATATAAGTCGGCCCAGTCCTCCAAAGATCATTGTCAAGTGGGCGGTACACTGACTGCTATATTACTTTGTACGACCTATTCATGGAGCTTATCGTTTCCATTTTGTAGCTACCAGGTGCAGGGTACTGAAACATTTAAAAGTAGAAAATGCACCAATCGTAAATCGATTTGACTACGCACAGTGCAAGAAACTGAATATGGATCAAGTACTAGACCAGATCCTACGGATGCCTCCTGAGAGAAACCGCATCATATACCTCCGCCCGATGCAGCAGGTAACGAGCTCTGCTCTTTTCTGAGGGATGTTGCAGTGATTTTTTTTTTTTTTTTTTTAAGTCCCCTACCTTTTTGGACTTGGGATTTAGTCATTGGCTCAACCCGTGGTCATGATTCTTTAGATTCTACACAGTTCTTTTAGCCATACTAGACCACCTTGCCAGTCTTCCTCATTAACGTTTCTCTGTTAGATTTTTGTGGGTTCTTACCAAGCGACAGGATGAGGGCCGTCGTTGAAGTACTTATTAAAAGTTGCCCGTAAAGAACACAGACTCTGGTTTCAGACCGCCTGATTCACATTCTCATTCACTGACAGGGAGCGGATTACTTAGCTGCTTTGCCTTAGTTTTTTCAGCTATACAATTAGACTAAAAACCTACACTTACTGTGATAGTTAAATTAATATACGTAGTGTTAGAACAGTTGCATATAGTAAGCAATCCTTTGATAGGTCCTATCCTCCTTATTAATTTTTTTCTTTTTATTGTATCTCTATGAGAAGATGGATGTTAGTTGAACCTGTTATGTTAACATTTCACAGTATAGGTAAATCAGACTGTCCTGCTGTATGTCTTACATTATACAGTGATGTATGTCAATTACTTCTCAGTAACACTGAGGGAGATAAAAAGTGCAAACATACGTAAGACTCTGCTTGGTGTGATGCCAAAATAAAGTTTAAAGGAAATAGTATATAATTGTTGTAGTCACTGTTTGAGCCTGGCCCCAAAAGATTCATTTCAACAAACACATCCTTTGTTTATAATTTTGGGGGGCTGAAAAGTCCACAGGGCATCATCCTTCTCTCGAGAAGTTTGCCTTTCTGGTAGGAGTAGACACATATGCCACTAAGATGGTAGGATGGGATTGCAGAAGAGAGATGGGGAAGAGGGCACTCCATGAGAAGAAAGCAAGTGAGTAAAGGCCACAAGGGGGGCAAGGAAATGTGTTCTGCCATTAGGATTGGCAGTGGGCCAGTTTGGATAGAGGATAGAACAGTACACATCCGCAGCTCTATGACACAGCCAGTACCTATACCTGTGAAAGACATACTCCGAAGTGGATTCCTGGGGTCACTTACCTGCATCTGGATTCCTTGCTTTAGTGGGCATTTATATTAATATGACCATGAGATGGAAATCAGGGAGATTACCAGGTAGAAAAATTTTGCTGAGCCCCACTCCCCACATGGCCAGCTGTGCTCAGGACTGAATGTGACTATTTGACTTTCAAATCTACCCGAGATTTTAAAACTGAGGTCCCGAAGAAAGATTGTTCATGCTCTAAGGAGCTAGATTTCTAAGGCATTCACTTTCTTTGTCCAAAGCCCACTCTGTGATGTCTTCCCCAGGTGGACACACTAACATTGGAACAGAAGCTCTTTAGTGGTCCCTACCCCTATCACATCTGTATAATCCACGAGTTCAGTAACCCTCCCAATGTCCGGAACAAAGTGCGTATCCGCAGCTGGATGGATACCATAGCAAACATCAATCAGTAAGTAATCTGTGGTCCCTGGAGGCCTTTTCAGTCATTCCCTATGGGAGGGGTTCCCAGAAACACAACCTAGTTGTTCTTTATTGTAAATGATACTTGTCTGGGCTTTTCAGCCACCGAAACATATGAAATATAACATGTAAAAAAAACTGAGGGAAACGGGGACTTAAAGTGAAAAGCATGCATGCGTATTTGTAACTTTATTTCTGAACTTAGAGAAAAATTGCAGGAACAGACTGTACGTATACATTTGACTTCATTCCTTTAGCCTTAGGGCATGGAAAAGAGATAAAATTAAAGATCTTAAAACTGTGACATTTTGTATCATCAGAAAGTTAGACTTTTTATGCCTTTGTTATATAAATGTTTTATTAAGCACCTTACACAAATGACATTTGATTAGAGAGTGGCTTTCTCTCTTTCCCCGATAGGATTTTGAAGGTAGTAAAGAAAGTAACTTTGAACTGACTAGATATGTTATCCTCTTCTAGTCTTCTGCTTCTGTTAGCTGTTTAATACTTCGTTTGAGATGCTCCCTAGAATCTAGGCCTGATACAATTTTGACAATCCTTTCTACCCCACACCCCAACGTTATTTCCGGTTTTGTAATTTTTAATATTTTTTTTTGTTGTTGCCTCCAGAGAGCTCATTAAGTACGAATTCTTCCCTGAAGCCACGCGAAGTGAGGATGATTTAAAGAAATACCCCAAGTACCCGTGGGGGAGAGAAATCTATACTTTAGAAGGTGAGCATTTACAAATGGCTGGGAAGCTAAATTAACTAGCTGGTTAACTAACTAGATGGAGAGACAGGTCCTAAGGAAGAGAGGAGTGGGAGCCTTACAGTTTGTCAAGGTGATGGGTGTTTTGACTGTCTGCAGGTAGCAGGGGCCAGATAAACCCTGCTCTCCCTGTGTGTCTTTGCCATCCCCCACCTAATCAGAAGCAGTGTCGAAACACAAAAGGTAGAAGAAAATTAAACTTGCTGTATACTCTGAGAGTTGGAAGTGACTTTAGGGCACCTGTCTCAACTTCTTCATTTTATATAAAGAGAGGGAGAAAGCGAGGCTTTTCCAGGAACCAGAGGGTGACCAAGGTCACATGACCAAATAGCAGCAGAGCTAGAATTAGAATGGACCCTTCCTGGTCCAGCCCTTTTTTGCCCATTGTGAATGAAAGCACACTTTACATTGTGCTTACAGGACACTACCGTGTTTGGCCCCGTCCTTACTGCCCCAGCCACAGCGCTGTTAACGTGTCATCTTCTTTCAGGGGTTGTGGATGGAGCTCCGTATTCCATGATCTCTGACTTCCCTTGGTTGAGATCATTGCGGGCAGCAGAACCCAACAGCTTCGCCAGATATGACTTTGAAGACGATGAAGAAAGTAATTATGACCTGACTTGATTTGTATTCTCCAGTTTGAGTATATCCTGCTGTGTTAGATGCTTCGCTTCATACTTCGTTTGAGTTAAAAGCAGTGTAGCCAGTAACTGCTTCCCGTATTATTGTTTTTATTTGCTTTTTGTTAGCGTTCGCTTCTCCCCCCGCAAACAGCAGCTCTAAATTTGTACAATAATCAGTTGATTTACTAGGGGTATATGAAGGTTGGCGGGCAGGAGTCCTTGAGACAGATTTTTCTAGCTAGATATTTTTATTACCTAAATGTTTATAATTTTCTTGCTCTTTATTGAGTTTGTCAACTATATTATTTTGAAATTGTTCCATTTATGCTAATTATATGAAAGGATCTTTTGAATATAGTTCTTCTCTGAGTGTTAGCACTCTTGAGTACCCGTTTGTAGGAAGTTTTTAAAAAACATTTTAGGAGGAGGGGCGCCTGGGTGGCTCAGTCGGTTAAGCATCCGACTTCGGCTCAGGTCATGAACCCACGGCTTGTGGGTTTGAGCCCTGCATCGGGCTCTGTGCTGATAGCTCAGAGTCTACTTCGAGTTCTGTGTCTCCCTCTCTCTCTGCCCCTCCCCTGCTCGCCCTCTGTGTCTCTCTCTCACATCTTCAATGTGTTTCAAATAAACATTGAAAAAAAAAAAAATATATATATATATATATATATATATATATGATGAAGAAATAGATTTGAAAAACTACACGTACATGTATACATGACTTACCTGTCTGGTGCGTTGTCAGCTTGGGCCTTTAATCATGCATGCTGTCTTGGGCACCAAACATGGCATGTCTGTAATAAGGGGACCCATTTCAAGACCTGAACATATTTCCGTCCCATCGCATTACAGGATATAGGCATATCTCATGGACCGGCTTAATCAGGGCCTTTCCAAATGATTCTGGTAATCATACGTGTTTCCCCTTTACTTTATAATTTCCAAGGCACCATCTATGCTCCTCGAAGGAAAGGGCAGCTGTCTGCAGACATCTGTATGGAAACAATAGGAGAGGAAATCTCGGAGATGCGTCAAATGAAGAAGGGTGTGTTTCAGCGAGTAGTGGCAATTTTTATCCACTATTGTGACGTCAATGGGGAGCCTGTTGAAGATGACTACATTTGACTGGTCCCTCCTACTCTCCAGGTATTCTGGCGGAAAGCCGCTGGGGTCGCTCAGCTGCCGGCGAGTGCCACAGGGATTCAGGGCATGCAGTTTGGAAGCCCTGGCACATTTTGGTATATAGGAAATGTACAAGGAACACTGAAGTTGTATACAAAGATTTGTACATAAAGAAAACATACAAAGACAGTTCCTGAGTACCAACTTTATATCATATGTTTATACAATTTAATTTAAGAATTCATTTTAATGAAGGCAGATAATTGGAAAGAGTTCATTTCGTTCATTTTCATTCATTTTTCCTGACTTAGTTCATAAAGTGTCACTTTTTGGCTGAGCCCCCAATTTACTATATTCTTGATAATCATTGTCATCCCCTTAAATCTGTGCCTTTTTCTTCTCGAGCAAAGCTGTTTGAGTAAATCTGTTGAAGAGTCTTTTTGTGTCTTGTGTGCTTTTTTTGTGTTATGATTAAAACCAACTAAACCCAATAGTCAGAGGCAACTTTATGTTTGTGTACAAAATGGTGTTTTTTTTTTCCCCTTAGTATTATGGTTGCCGTATTTCTTAAAATGAAATAAAAAGATTCATGAGTTTAAAAAAAAAAAAAAACTGAGTTTGAGGGGGGGAAATGGAAGTTTCCAAAGCATTTCTAGTTATTTATTTCCACATTCAATTGTGTATATGCTTTATCTTGAATATAAAAATAAAAGTTTATTAAAAACTTTTTTCTGGCCTTGGATCTGAATCCCTCTTTTCAAAGAAGAGTAGCAGCTACTGTACAGAAAAGGAACGTGTAGATTTGTGTCTAAGATTTCAGCGTAATCCAGTTTCTCATCTCTTTTTTTCTAAAATTCAGTGGCTGCAAGATGTTCAACTCGAACTCTTACGTGATGGAACAGTGAGAAGAGCAGAATTTCCCCCAAATACCTTGTCACCATGAGATGGCCTTTCTCCTTTCGCAGGGGGAGAAATTACCCTAATTTAGCGGTGATACATGCAATATTATGTGTAGGGCCAGGGGTCAGGAGCACGAAAAGCTTTAAAGCGATACCTACGTTCGAGGGACAGTGTTGCCACTGGCTAGCTGAGTGACCTCAACAAAACGTTTAAACCGAAATTCTGTGGAAAAGTGTTGCCCACCCTCTCCGAGTGGCCATAGGTGCTTCGGGTGTGTATGAGGTGTGAAGGCTCTTAGAGACTGCCGAGGCCAACCTTTTCACTTACAGGAGATTAGCTGAAGCGCGGAGAGGGAAATTTTCTCACTTAATGGTCGAGAACCGGTTAAGGCACTTCAAGGGTCATTCCCATTGGGCTGCCTCCCTATCTATCGTTAATGTCCACAGAAATGTGTAGGGACACCAGAAATTCACACACTAAAATAGTGGGAATGGTAATCAGTGTCTTTCGCCAGAGTTCTTTTTTGAAGACAAAATTCTGTTAACGCTGGGAAGAATGTCCAGTATGCCATTGAGTCAGCTTTTTATTACCTTGTATTTAACGCCACTAATCTCCCTTTTAACTAAAAGAGAGTGTTGTACTCTGCAGGTTAGAAGTGTGACCAGCAAAAAGCAGGAAACAAATTACAAAACAATCTAGATATTTCAAACTACTACAAAACCCCCAACACTTAGACTCTCAGCTACCCTGTTTTTTCAGGTGTAACCATAGTCACCAAATCACGGAAACAATGCTTAGATGAGCCGCTAGAGGCCGCTGCTTTCTAACTTAGTGGTTTCTTACCGGCTCCTCTCCTCGCCCGCTGTTAGAGCAAGTGCAGCGGGAAGCGCTAAAATCCTTCTCAAGATACCCAGATTGGAACAAATAAAAAAAGCAGCAGTCTTGGAAGAAGACGACGATAGTGACATTTGGTCAGTGTCTATGGAATGAATGGCTGGATAGCGATTGCCCTAGAGCAGGGGTCGGCACACTTTTCGCACAGGGCCAGATAGTAATTACTTGAGGCCCCACATGGCAGTTACCCTGGTGTTGGAGCATGAGAGCAGCCACAGAGCCTGTGTCAACCAGTGGGCATGGCTGTGCTACAGTGAAACTTTATTTGCGGAAACGGATTTGAATTCCCCACAATTTTCACGTGTCACGAGATACCTTCTGTCTGCCGACCACTTTACAGAGTAAAAGCCATTCTTAGTTTACCGACCGGAGCATCCGGCCCCCGGGCCACACACCTGCCATAGACAACTGAGCTGCCCCGCCATCCATTCAATTGCTTGTCACCAGCTTGTGGTGCAGTGTCTTGGCACAGCTTTAAAAGGCTTTAAGAAACGTTTCTTGGACGGATGACTGCATTAATGTCGGTGTTCGAGACCATCGTGTCTCTCCTCCAGTGCGGCCGGATGCAGGCCCTAACGGTCTCTGTAAATCACAGCTGGCACACAGCTCTTACGGGGACTTCACCGGGGGATCCAAGGATGTCTATGCAAATTCTAACCCCCTCAAATGACCGCCAAGTGACCGGGAGATGGTCACAGCCTCTACCCTGGAGCCTCGGATAAACGCGCCCACCCCCAGGGCACCTGTGAAAGTGCAGCGAGAGCCTCCAGAAACCGCTAAGTGTGAGGCAAGTGGACATAGTATCGCTTCCACTGTAATTCCCTTTATTATGAAAGGGGTTCTTTTTTTAGTGATCTTCACCTTCTGTTCCTTCGACCATATTCCAGAGTGATAGGAAACAGAACTGGTGAGGCCATTAAGGAAATACTGGTCCTATGAAAGCATTTTTAAGAGCATTTACCAAGGGCTTTCCGTGCATCCTCATTCTGACTTTCAGTGTGGCTGGTCATTATGTCCCCTGCTTTACTGTTGGGGAAATTAGGGTTTAGCAGGTTAAATATCTTGCTCAAAGGCACGCGTCTAGGAAGTGGTGACAGCAGGATGCTGTCAGTCTGCCTCCAAAGTCTGTGCAACTTGGGCAGAGTGTCTCAGTCCCTGGAAGGGAGGCTTGGCTAAAGCCCAGGCAGGGGCTGGCCTCCTCCCGCAGGCAAGCTGCCCCTTAAACTTGAACCCATTCCAGCTGACCTTCATACGCTTAGCACAGTCCCAGGAAAACAGAGGCTGCTGATTTTGATGCGGGCCTCAGGTGCCCCACTCAGACACGGGATACGGCCAGACGGTGACGGAATCAACACCGCAGGCCGTGTGGCATCCGTATGGCATGCACACAGCAACTAAAAAGAACCAAGAATCACGTGTTGATGTGAAATGACGCTTCCGATGTCCCGAAAGAAAAGCCGAGTTGCAGATCATGATACACAAGCATTATTTATGTATAAGAACAAAACAAGACCATAGATTTTTATCTGTACATTTATACATATGTGGATACACAGGACACGTCCGTGAGTTACACAAGCCAGATAGAAGAGTGGTTACTTCTTGGGAGGGGAGGGGGATTGAGCTGGAGTCCAGGGGCATTTTGCTGTATCTGTAGTTAGAACTCCTTATAATGGGAATGGACTGCATAAATACATTATGTGTGTAACCCATCATTTATGTTGTCTAAAAATATATAATTTGTATATTTAGAAACACACGTGAAGAAGGGGAGGAAGAAAGCACTCTTTTAGAATGGAGTGGTCCAAAGTGTTTCAGCCCTGACTCCTGTGTCCTTGGGCAAAACACCTTCCCTGACGGTTTCCTTTTCTATAAAATGCTGTCAGTAATCCCTCCCCGCTGGTTGCTGTGAGAGGCCCAGGGACCTCGCTGGGAAAATGCCGAGAAACTTGTAAAGTGCCTGCAGTGGTGAGCTCTGGGGACAGAGGAGCCTGTCCAGATAGCGTTCCAGGCTCCAACTACAGATTTGGCAAAGTCAAGCTGCCTTCCACTGGAGCCACGCCTGGAGGGTCTGAGATACAAAAGCCAAATGCTCTCTTTGGCTCACTTACCTCGTTCTCAGGGCCCGCTGCTGGCTTTTCCGTAGCCCGGGCGGCAGGGGAGTTACCGCAAAGAGGGGGAGAGATCAGCGCAGGAGGGCCTTTCCTCCCCGACCAGCGGTCTGCCAGATCCCTCCCAGGTTTAAAGACAGAAATTGAGGCTCAGAGAGTGAAAGGGAACCAAAGAAGACACCAGAGCGAGTGCCAGGCAGGGCGGCACACAGGAACAGTAAGTCCCGATGCCTCTCCAGGCCCCAGGCTGAGGCTCAAAGGAACTTCCCATCAACAGGAAGGCAGGGGCCGCCCTTGCTTGCTCACTCCTCTTCCAGCATCCGGCCGGCAGGGGACAGTGGAGTGAGTTCATCCCGGTAAGGGATGAGGGGCCCGTGGTTGGGACTGCAGGCTGGACCATCACGCAGCCCGGGGGGCGCTCCCCAGACGCACACTTTCGGGCCGGGCTATTCACCAGACCTCCCTCGGCTGAGGTCGCTCTGCTGCAAAGCCGGAGAATTTTGGGTACTTCTTTTTTTTTTTTTTTTCAACGTTTATTTTTGGGACAGAGAGAGACAGAGCATGAACGGGGGAGGAGCAGAGAGAGAGGGAGACACAGAATCGGAAACAGACTCCAGGCTCTGAGCCATCAGCCCAGAGCCTGATGCGGGGCTCGAACTCACGGACCGCGAGATCGTGACCTGGCTGAAGTCGGACGCTTAACCGACTGCGCCACCCAGGCGCCCCAAATTTTGGGTACTTCTTGAAAGGATTTTATGAGGATTGAGATAATCCCCATAAAGCACTTAACACAGAGCCTAGCAGAAAGGAGCTCAGTAAATGTTAGCTTCTCTTATTGCTACATTATTATTATTATTATTTTTTGGGGTGAGCTAAAAAAAGAGGGGAAGGGAAAGGAGAAACTGAATCACATATAATAGCCATTAAAAGTATCGTCAGTTTCATGGGGCGCCTGGGTGGCTCCGTCGGTTAAGTGTCCCATTCTTGGTTTCGGCTCAGGTCACGGTCTCATGGTTTCGTGAGTTCAAGCCCCGTGTTGGGCTCTGCGTTGGCAGCATAGAGCCTGCTTGAGATTCTCTCTCTCCCTCTCTCTCTGCCCC